GCCAGAATGTCATGGGGGACCTTGTCGAAGGCCTTACTGACGTTGTGCTGTCACGTGCTGGGCCTATAGCAAATTGTCTTTTGAACAGGACATGCTCTTTGTGCCCAGCGGGGAGACGGGTTGCCTTGGCTGAGAGACCCTAAGGATTTTCCTATACAAAGGTCTTTAGATGCTTGAAAAGTTTAACAAAGTCCTTTGTTATTGCTTAGATCTTCAACAATTTAAACAAACACTTCTCAGATCTTCCAGCAAGTCAAACAAATGCTTCTTAACTTGCCCAAATGGACAGGTAACTGGCTTCGTGAACTGTTTCATTTCTTTAACAAAGAAAACAGTTTTTAACCCCTCCCAGGGAATCTACTTTCTATGCTTGCTGGTTTGGGCTCTACTCCCGGCTCCAATTGCTTCTGGTTACCCAAGTAGACCTACCAGCCGAGGCTTTGTAGATTCTCCAGCTGGAGTTCTTTTGGATCTTTTCCACGAAAGATGTGGAGCTGTTTCCCCCGGATGCTGTGAGAAACGAAGCTTGTTTACAGATGGAGCTGATCCATGTCCTGTAGCTAAGCTTTCCACTATAAGACTGAACTAAAAATGGTTCCCTTTCCCTCCCAGAGCCCTGGAAAAAGGGGCGGAACCAAAACTTAACAATGATAGACAGGTGGCTAGCCTTATGTCTGCAAACCAAGAGAAGTCACCTTTTGCAAATGCATGGAACCTTGGAATATATGCAAACACTCAATAGGAAGAAATGAAGTTGAAGCTCCTGGTACAGCCGTACCAGCACAGACATCCACATATGCTACATGCACGGCATTCCATGCATCTACCCAGCTTGTAACTCTATCGGAAAAAGAGATCAGATTTGTCTGGCATGACTTGTTTTTGATAAATCCGTATTGACTATTAGCAATGACCACATTCCTTTGTGTTTACAGGCCACTTCCTTAACAATATTTTCCAGAATCTTGCCTGGAATCAACGTGAGGCTGACCAGATGGTAATTGTTTGGGTCGTCTTTTTTCCCTTCTTGAAGATTGGGACCACACTGGCCCTCCTCCAATCTGCTGGAACTTCTCCCGTTCTCCAAGAACTCTCAAAGATGATTGCCAATGGTTCCGAGATGATTTCCGCTAGTTCCTTCAATACTCTTCATTGCAGTTGATCAGGCCCTGGGGACTTGAACTCCTGCCTCCCTGGCCTCCGCAGACCCCAGCAGAGCCTCCAGAGCCATGCAGGCAGCAGCAGGCCAGGGAGGCAGGTCTTCCTTGCCGTGCCTCAGGCCACTGCACTTCCGGGGTCTAGGGAGGCAGGCCTTCCCCGCTATGCCTCAGGCTACCACATTTCTGGGGTCCCTGGCCTCCACTGGCCATGAATATTTCATACTTTTATTTTTTAATTAATATTTTCAAAAACCCGCGAAACAGCGAGTCCACGTAAAGTGATCCGCAAAGTAGCGAGGGAACACTGTAGTTGCTTTGAAATGGAATATATGGCAGTGTGGGCTCAGGTAACCCAGTTCAAAGCAGATACTGTGGGATTCTCTGCCTTGATATTCAGGGTTATATGGCTGTGAGGAAGGGCCCAGAGTCTCAACCAGTGCAACATAGTTTGTGGCTGCCGCAAAAATGAAGGTTCTGGAGCATAAAACTCCATTCAAAGTAAGGACCGTACAATGAAACAGGAAATAACTCTTTCAAACCAGGAACAGAAACATTTTCAAATTTTGTTACATTGTGTAACTCTTCCTAGTAAAGGCACTTAGCCACTATTGAAACAAAGGAAAGTTTGTGTATTGAGAAGACAAGGGTAATGCAGGATGGAACTAGAGGCATCCTAGGCAGCACACTGCATGTGTGTGTTCATTTGTGTGAGTGAGCAGCTTTGGCTTTCCCCACCCAAGAGTGCTGGTGCCTCACCAAACTACAAATCCCAGTAAAAAGTGGTATCAAATGGCATTCATTCTACAGTAGAAATGCAGTCTTTCCCAAGCCTCTGCAAGGGGTTAGGGAAGTAATAGCTCCCTTGCAAGACGTCCGGTTCCCGTTTGCAGCTGTTAAGGAGGGAATGCAGTGCTATAGGGAAGACACAAGGCAACAAACTTGGAGCCAACTACACAACCTCTGAGGATGCTTGCCTTGGATGCAGGTGAAACGTCAGGAGAGAATGCTTCAAGAACATGGCCATACAGCCCGGAAAACCTACAGCAGCCCAGTTTAGAGTCTTCTTATCACACGTGCCTTTGTCGCCTTCTACATTGCCATAAAATCCATATTATCAAAGCAGATAATCCACATCATTTGCTTTGAACCGGATTATATGTGTTTACATTGCCCCGGTGGCGCAGCGCTGAGATGCTGAACTTGCAGACTGAAAGGTTGCAGGTTTGAATCCGGGTATCTGCATGAGCTCCTGCTGATAGCCCCAGCTTCTGCCAACCTATCAGTTTGAAAACATGCAAATGTGAGTAGATGAAAAAGTACTGCTCCGATGGGAAGGTAATGGCACTCCATGCAGTCATGCTGGCCACATGATCTTGGAGGTGTCTACGGACAACGCCAGCTCTTCAGCTTAGAAATGGAGATGAACATCACCCTCCAGAGTCATACACGACTGGGCTTAATGTCAGGGGAAAACTTTTACCTTACTTTGCATTGCCAGAAGGGGCTTGACAGTCAACTGTGGGTGGATCTACACTGCTATATAATCCAATGATCAAAGCAGGCAATCTACATTATCTGCTTTGAATTGTATTTATTTATCATATCCAAAGCACACGGAGGAAAGGAGGAAACCATGAAAATGAACAAAATCTGGCTACCAGTATTAAAAAACTCTAAAATTAGAACAGCACAACAACAGAGAGGAAACAAACAAGGACATTTAATCACCTCTCAATGAAAGGGTTTATATATCTGTGGAATGATTAGCAATCAAATGCTAATCAAGGTGGTCAGTTGAAACATTCACATCTAGCTCCAGCAGACAAGAGTCCTTTGTCCCACCCTGGTCATTCCACAGATATATAAATCACTTTTTCCTAGTTCCAACAGACCTCACTACCTCTGAGCATGCTTGCCATAGATGCAGGTGAAACGTCAGGAGAAATGCCTCTAGAACATGGCCCTATAGCCCGAAAAAACCTACAACAACCCAAAATGGGAAAAGTTTATTAAACTGCCAAAACTTTGTTGTTGCGAGACATCATGCAGCACATTTTGCTGTAGTTTTTCAATGAATATCCCATGGAGTCTCAACCAGTTCAACATAGTTTGTGGCAGCCACAAAAATGAAATTTCTATATTCAAAGTAAGTACCGCACAATTAAACAGGACATAACCCTTTCAAACCAGGAACAGAACATTTTTTTCAAAATTTGTTACATAAAGCCCTTCCAGGCAGGCCCTATATCCCAGGATCTGATCTCAAGTTTTCTGCTTTAAACTGCATAATGTGAATCTGCACTGGCAGATAATCTGGGATAAACAGAAAAGCTGAGAACACATCATGGAATGTAGGGCCTGTCTTGAAGGGCCTGTAGTGTTATCTCAGGCTCCTTCCACATGGCTGAATAAAATCCTGAACAGATCAGAGATAACAGGGTTGTTGTTTTTTTTTTGTATGTGTCAGAAGTGACTTGAGAAACTGCACGTCGTTTCTGGTATGAGAGAATTGGCTGTCTGCAAGGACATTGCCCAGGGGATGTTTTACCATCCTGTGGGAACCTTCTCTTATGTCCCCGCATGGGAAGCTGTAGCTGACAGATGGGTTATTCAGTCTAACAACTGAAACCATTGCCTTGCATACTTATATCGGGTTCTATACCACAAGAGAAGATTCTATTCTAAAGGGTTTTGGACTCTTCACTGAAAGGTCAGCCTTTTTTAAAAAGTTATAATCTCCAAAAGGTGTTTTTCCAAAAGGTTATGAACGCAATTTTCCAAAACCTTGTCAATTTTGCCCTCAATTTTTCTCAGGAACTGTCCACGGAGAGCCTTCTATTGCCAGTTTTCTTTTTTGCCTTGCACTGTATTTTTACGGTATTCACTCTTTGTCTTTTTGTTGTTGTTGTTGTTAGAAAGCCAACAAGATGAGTCCACAGCAAACAAGATCACTCCGCTGACTGTTGTATTGGATCACACGTCAGACACTTCCCAAGTGTCTAGGACTGTGTGATGTATTGGCGAATAATGCATGCTGATCCCAGTACAGCTGGCAGATGGTAATTTTGTCAGCGCTGATTGTGTTTAAGTGCAGGCCAAGGTCTATGGGCACTGCACCCAGTGTGCCTATCACCACTTATTATTATTATTATTATTATTATTATTATTATTATTAGAAACACAACAAGATGAGTTCACAGCAGACACTCTGCTGGCTGTTGTATTGCATCACACATTGCACACTTTCCAAGTGTCTAGGACTGTGTGATGTATCAGCGAGTAATGCGTGCAGATCCCAGTAAGGTGGCCTTCTGCAGGTGGCAGATGGTAATTTTGTCAGTGCTGATTGTGTTTAAGTGCAGGCCAAGGTCTTTAGTCACTGCACCCAGTGTGCCGATCACCACTTGGACCACCCTGACTGGTTTGTGTCTGTCTTTGCAATTCGATTTTCAAATCCTCATATTGTGTCAGCATTTCCAGTTGTTTCTGTGCAATCCTACTGCTATTATTATTATTATTATTATTATTATTATGGTTTTGCGCATGTGTTGTAATGTATTTTGTTTGTTGGTTTTTTAAGTCTCTTCCGCTGTGTTTTTCAGTGGTTTTATGAGTGATTCGTTGGTTTGAGAAATGTATTGTGTCCAAATTTGGTGTCAATTCGTCCAGTGGTTTTTGAGTTATGTTACATTTTTATTTAAATAGAAGATTAGCCAGCATAGCTGCAAAACATGCCCGGAAGTCGTGACGTTTGGGTGGTTAGAGTGAGTGTCAGGTTTATTTGGAATTCGTTCGCACGGGAACCGGAAGTGTGGGCTGCTCCGCCGTGTTGCTCGAACTCTATATCTTTCTCCTCCCTCTTGACAGGCGCGGAGGTCCGTTTGGCGGCGTTTTGATTTCCTCCAAGATGGCGGCGGTGGGAGCAAACGGGGCCAGTTCTCTCCGCCGGGAGGGCAGGGAGTGGAGGGCGACGGCGCTGTTGCTGCTGTACCTGTGTGGGACCGCCTGGGCGTCGTCTCCGTCTTCTCCTACTTCTCTTTCCCCGGAGGACCAGGCCGCGTCGCCCTCCCTGAGCCCAGTGCTAGAGTTGCACGGCTCCAACTGGAGCCTCCTGCTGCAGGGCCATTGGATGGTGGAATTGTGAGTCACTTGCACAAGGAGAGGAGGAGGAGGAGGAGGTGCATTGCATGGGACCGCTTTCACCGCCGTGGGACAATGATAATTGATCCAGGGGTTGGAACTCCAAACTACAAATTCCAGTGTTATCTGCCTAGATGATGATGATGATGATGATGATGATGATGATGATCATCTTCATCATCATCATCATCTTCATCTATATGGGTTATATGACGCTGTGGAAGGGTCCGAAATTGTGGCTACATCTAAACTACACCAAGGTGCATCCAGATTAGGGCCCCTTCCACTCAGCTGAATAAAATCCCACAGTATCTGCTTTGAACTGGGTTATATGGCAGTGTGGACTCAGATAAGCCAAGACCATTCCACACAACCAAATAACCCAGAATATCAAGGCAGAAAGCCCCACACTTTGGTCTGGGATATCTGAGTTCATATCTGAGTTCACAGTGCCATATATTACAGTGCAAAGCAGATAATGTGGGATTTTATTCAACTCTGGAAGGACCCCCAGCTCCAGGCCATAGCCCGGGGGAGGGGGGGGGCTTGAAGGGCTTCAGCTCCCTCCCCCCAAAATTCTCGGCTTAGAAATGGAGATGAACACCATCCCCAGAGTCGGACTCAACTAGACAATGTCAAGGGGAAACCGTTACCTTTACATACACTTTTTCTGATACAATATTTTGACTTTATGACAGAAGCTCAACAGTTGAAAGAGAAGAAGAAAGCATACATTTGCAATATACCTGCCAGCACAGACTGTTTTTTATCATAGACGCAGGCCAACATTTTAGAACGGAAGGTGAGGATATTAGAAGTTCAAGAGAAGGACTTGAACTAAACTAAGGTGCAGTGGCATTTATTTCTCAAGTAGCTATTTTTTTTTGTCGTGTCAGGAGCAAGTTGCTTCTGGTGTGAGAGAATTGGCCGTCTGCAAGGACGTTGCCCAGGGGACGCCTTGATTATTTGATGTTTTTATCATCCTTGTGGGAGGCTTCTCTCATGTCCCCGCATGAGGAGCCGGAGCTGATAGACTGAGCTCATCCATCTCTCCCTGGATTTGAACCTGTGACCTGTCGGTCTTCAGTTCTGCCTGCACAGGGATTTAACCCACTGCGCCACCGGGGGCTCCACATTCTCAGGGTGGTCCATGAGAAGACCTTCCTGGTACATTATTTAAACTGTTATGTTTATTCATATCATGATCTGATCACCATGCTCAATGTATCCCATATGCATGGGGATATTGGAATAATGATACAAAGGTTTGCTAGGGTAGATCTTCAGCCCCCTCCCCCATACCAAACCTGATGGGTTTTCCCTGCATTTGTTCTCTCTTTCTGCTGGTCTGTTATAATGGGGTCTCTAAAGTATCATTGATGGGGGGGGGGGGGAAGCAATAGAGCTACCTTCTCTACAAAGCTAATGGTGTCCTTGCTTTTCTTTTTTGACTCCTTGCAGCCTGATACAATAGGTTTTGCTGGGATCACAGGCTCGGAAGGCCATGCTCTTCAATGCTGATACACTGTTGAAGGATTGCGTGTATCTTGTCTTCAATGCTGGTTCATACAAGCTTTGCTTTCAGGATTACAAATAGGACAGTGGAAATTATGTTGCATTACACAGGCAGAAACCTTCTAAGGGCCCTTCCAGACAGCCATATAAACCAGAATATCAAGGCAGAAAATCCCACAATATCTGCTTTGAACTGGGTTATCTGAGTCCACACACAGATAATGTGAGATTTTCTGCCTTGATATTCTGGGATATAGTGCTGTGTGGAAGGACCCTAAATTTAATGTTAATAGACAGCAATATTTTGAGACATTGCAATAGGCTGCTGCTTGGAATTGTAACCTTAAAATAAAGGTGCTGCAAATGTATTATTAATATTGTGTTTATTCCTAGATAATTAGTCCCTGGAGAACGTGTGTGGCACAACAATTCCTTCAGTTAACAAGATCTCTTATTTATTATGCGTGCAAAACAAATAAGGGACTGAGCAGGTGTATTCCTAGATGTAAGACTTTATGTTTCATAATTAAAAATAATAATTCAAAGCAAAATAATCTACACTCTGGAGCACAGTGCTTTCTAATAAAATGTTACTCTCTTTTAATGCTGTTATCATTCATCTTTATCTAGTAGCTTAATTGCTCGTCCCTGCTTAATGTGTTTAAGGTATTCTTGCTGTCGGTATAGGTTGAGGTTTTTAAAGATGTTTTAATTGTTTTGGTTTTCTTGTTTTAATTATATTTCACTATTATATGTTACATGTTTTAAGTATGTTATTTTGTAACTCTTGTTGATGCTGGGCTTGGTCCCATCTCTTCGGGAAGATGGTAGCGGGATATAAGAATAACCTAATAATAATAATAATAATAATAATAATAATAATAATAATAATAATAATAATATAAAAACTAATCCAAATGGTAGAAAAAAAGTTATGAAATACAACATTGCCGTTGGTGAAGGATATAAAGGGCTATGCCAATGTCTCTCACACCAGAGTGACTTGCAGTTTCTCAAGTCGCTCCTGGCACGAAAAAAAAAGTATTTTGGCTGTACCCAGTAAAAATGTCAAAATAACAGAAATATCCTAAAGGTCTTCGTGCTTCTAAAATGTGTAAATTAACAGAACTTTTATTCTAACAATTATCAAAAATTTCTCAGATAATACAAACATACATGTATTTCTTCTGGTATATTTGGAAAATTGGGCAGCATCTGCATATCTCAGCAGGCCATGCCCTTGAATAACAATGACTTGCCTGTTAAAGTGGTGTTCTTACTTAATCAGAATTACTGCTGTTGATACACAGTAGTAACAGTGTTTGAAGGTCAATCTAGGCAGTTCTATAATTTTTCACTTCCTTTTCAGATGCACATACACACCCTTAAGCATTTGTTCCATTGCAGAAACCCCTTTTGATAGAATACAGTCACCAATGTTTTTGTGCTGTTGGTTATGTCCAGTTAAACTTACTGAAAAGTTGTTGGGAGGGGAAGTGCATTAAATGGCTACTGTGGTGGGGGAGTCTAGCCACACATTTAGCAGAAGGAAAGCTGATAGTGTTTCTTTTAAAAAGCGACTTGAAGAAAAATGACAAAACAGATCAGTTATCTCTGAGCCAAAACAGTCACTTGCCTGGACTACAGTTTGCTACTGATACCCATCTCACAGGAAATATGTTCTCTTGAATGCTTATATTGTTCCTTCGCTACACCCTGCTACTGTGAGTTATTCGGTTGTGTTACTAAGGAGATGAAAATTAGTTGCACCCATGTGTCAGAAGTCGAGATAAGATTTCACCTCCCAAGATGCTTCTCTCAATTGACTAGTATTGGCCTTGTCTCCTATCAAAGTTAAGGAAGGGCAAGATATGGTGGGGGAATGTCTGAAAATACATTTGTGACACTTTGGGATTATAGGAAAGCCTAGTGGCTTGTCATTGTGATACCTAGAGCTTGAAAATATTTAGTAGTGCTTGATGGAAAAAATATTTTCCATTATTTTATATATTTGTAATATTAGGTATTGTAGACTATGTTTCAGAGGAAGACAATGGCAAATGACCTCCTTACCTTTTGAAATTCTCCATGGTCATCATAAGTCGATGAGTGACTTGAAGGCGTATATTCACAAGCACTGAATATGATATATGGATTACTCTATTTTGCAGAGGAATTATGGCCCTATCTACACTCCATATGAAATCCAGATTATCTGATTTGAATTGGATTATTTGGCAGTGTAGACTCATATAATCCCGTTCAAAGTGGATATTGTAGATTATCTGCTTTGATAATATAGATTATTTGGCAGTGTAGAAGGGGCCTAAGAGAGCCTTCAAGGCCACCTTTAAATGCTAAGCAATTTCATGGGGAAGCATATTTCTCAAGTAATGTCCTAAATCATTTATAATCTTAAATGTCTAGTTTAACAATTTAAATCAACCCTAGAAATAAATTAGCATTCAATTTAAGTAATTTACTGTATTTGTCTACTGACTTTCTCAGCCATATCGGCGACTCAAACATTGGGGTTGAACTCCTTCAGTGGTAACAAGCATCCTGAAAACAGTACAGTGTTACCTCGCTGCTTCGCGGTTTGTTTTTCGCACACTCGCTGTTTCACAGGTTTTTGCCTCCCAGTTTATGGATGGTTGCTGTTGCCCTGAGCAGCATTCTAATCCCACCAATGGAGTGTGGAAGGGGATTTCATCCTCACCCTCAGAAGAGAGGCAGCCAATCAAGAGAGATCGCAAAGCAAAGCAGAGATAGGTAGCAAAAAAAGGTGCATGGTGTCTTTAAATCTCTCCTCACTTCTGCCACACCCTCAGAATGCAATATACATATATAGTGTCCCTACATTGCAGATTTTCACTTTTCACAGGTGGTCCTGGAACGTAACTCCCACTATAAATGAGGGAACACTATTTTATGTCAATTGAATTTTTTGAACAGTTTTAAAAATCTTTACAATAATCTATTCAGTTTGGATTTAATTGGGTAGTTGTAGGTTTTTCCGTTTGTATGGCCATGTTCTGGAAGCATTCTCTCCTGACATTTTGCCTTCATCTGTGGCAAGCATCCTCAGAGGTTGTGAGGAGAATGCTTGCCACAGATGCAGGTGAAACGTCAGGAGAGAATGCTTCTAGAACATGGCCATACAACCTGAAAAACCTTCCAACAACCCAGAGATTCCGGCCATGAAAACCTTCGACAATACATTAGATTGAATTTTCCAGGAAACAAGGTTGATACATTAAAATAGTGCTTGTATTGTTCAAGAAGCTATATTGACACAATTTATCAATACAATTGGCCAGATAAGCAAGTGTATACTGGGCTCATTTCATACTGTTTCTTTCTCTAGCTATGCCCCTTGGTGCCCTGCCTGCCAGCAGATGGAATCATCATGGGAAGCATTTGCAAGAAATAGCAAAGACCTTGAACTCAGTGTGGGCAAAGTGGATGTTACACAGGAACCAGGTATGTTTAAAAAATGTAGTTTTAGTTTGTAACTAATTATAATAAAGCAGATGATAATCTTATAATGGCGCCTTTCATTTGTGAAAATTCCAACCCATATTTACTTGCAACACAGTAGAGTAGGGGAGGCAAACCTCTGGCTTGAGCTTCCAGTTTTGTTCAATATGTGACCCTTCAGACTACAAGAGACTGGAACAATCTACCTCACACACTGAGGTCCCTTCCACACAGCTGCTTTGAACTGGAATATATGACAGTGTGGACTCAGATATCCCAGTTCAAAGAAGATATTGTGGGATTTTCTGCCTTGATATTCTAGGCTATATGGCTGTGTGGAAGGGTCCCTGTTTGGCAACCATCACCCAGAGGACTTTTTCATCAACTGCCCCAGGACTGTGGAATGACCTGCTGGAAGAGGTCTGACACATAAATGAACTGTCAGAATTTAAGACAAAAGACCTATCTCTTCTAGCAGGCCTACCCAGGGCCCTTCAACACAGCCATATAACCCAGAATATCTACTTTGAATTGGGTTATTCGAGTCCACGCTGCCATATATTCGAGATCATAGCAGATAATGTGAGATTTTATATAGCTGAGTGGAAGGGGACCCAGTCAGTTTTTAACTTGTGAAATTTAATCTGCCTTCCATTAGTAGATTCTAACTTAGATTTTAATTCTGTATATCTTGTTGTATGTGTTTTAGTAGCATTTTATGTCTTGTTTTAAAAATGTTCTACGCCTTAAGCCACATGGAAAGGTGAACGGTGGTGGTAAGTGGAGGTGGTTGTTGTTATTATTGTTATTATTATTGATGTATTTTATTTGCCCCAACTTGTATTTGGTAACAATGGAGTTTAGGTTGTATTCGTTCTTACTTTTCTGGTGTAAGATTAACAGTGACTTTTGTTGGTTAATGCTGAAGGATAGCTAAATCAAAGTTGGATAAATTGTTCATTATAATAAGGGGGAAATAACACTATGTAACATGATTTTTGTTCTTGAGTTGTAAATGTAATTTCCTACTTGGTTCTATCATAAAACCATGGAAGAAATTTATCAAACTACAAAAAATGTTTTTGTGGGACATCCTGCAGCACATTTTGCTGTCGTTCTTCAATGACTCTCTCATAAGAGTCTCAATTAATTCAACATAGTTTGTAGCATCCACAAAAACAAAGTTTGTGGAGTATAACAACTGCTTTCAAAGTAAGTACTACACAATTAAACAGGAAATAACACTTTAAAACCAGAAACAGAACATTTTTCAATTTTTGTTACACAGTGTAGTTTTCAACGTAAGCGCTAGCAGCTGATTTCAAGTGATCTTTGAGGCCTGATCATTATTTGAGGGAAGCAAAACATTTTCATTAGACTAATGTTTTTGACATTTCTGTTCATAGGTATATGCAATGAAGACAGATTTATCCATTCTTTTAAAACCAATGTATGCCAGCATACTGATTGCGTCTGTACATAGAGTTCAGAAGTTAGTACCTTGTCCTTTCGGATTCCTGTCATCTCCCATCCCCAACATTATTGCTGTTTCTGTTGTACATCAGCTCAAAGCTACATGCTTGAAGTTGGCACTATATGTCTGAAGCAGCATTTTTAGGTTCTTGTTCCTTCTGATGGTTAGCAACAGAGGTTATGTTAGAGACGAAAAGCTAACGGCTTTTTTTTTCTAGCTTTCTATAGGAAGGGTAGTTTGCTGGTTATTTTTATTTTTTTGAAGGCTGTTGCTGTTGTTAGATTACGAAAAGCCTATATGGTTGACTTCAAGATTTTCTCTGCCACTAACTGTTCAACTTGTTTTTAGTCTAGACAGTATTCTGCTTTAAAATATATTCATACTTTCCTATATTTCTGATATCAAATTGTATATTTCCTGTTCCAGTCCTATGCATAGTTCCTCAGATTTTGATTCCATTAAGTTCACCGAATTTTATGTCTGAGAAAGTGAATATATAATTGAATTTATTTTTGCCGTTAGTGAATTTTTATTCCTGACAGTGCAGTGAAAATTGCTAGTTACATGTCAACCAGCATGGCGCAGTGGTTTGAGTGTTGGACTGTGACTTTGGAGACCAGGATTTGAATCCCTGCTCAGTCATGATATAATATTAATATATAATAATAATAATAATAATAATAATATATCAATCATGATATAATAATAATAATAATAATAATGTGCTATGATAATAATATATTGTATTTACTTTCTACTTGTAAGCCGCTCTGAGTCCCCTTTGGGGTGAGAAGGGTGGCATATAAATGTCGCAAATAAATAAATAATGGAAATCCACTTGTTGGCCTTGGCTAAGTCTCACTTTCTTAGGCACAGAGGAATACAAATGCAAATCTCCTTTGAACAAAGCTTGCCAAGAGAACCCTGTGATTTGATTGCTTTTAGTCAGTTCTGCAAGTTTGAATTCACTAAGGCCCCTTCTACACTGCCATTTAATCCAGATTATCAAAGTAGATAATCTGGATTTTATATGGTAGTGTAGAAGGTCCTAAAAGGCACAAAATAACAACAAGGGTTCAATACTTCATATAGGCCAGAACAGAGATAGAAGCATAGCTGGTGACAGTGTCTGTAGATCAGCTTTTGGGAATTGTTGAATCTATACATTAGTTCCTTCACATTCATTGGGCTAAGGGGCACAGAACCCCCACAAATGTATAAAAAGAGTGAATACCCCCCTTTAAAAAATCTAAGACACTTCTAAAGGCATTTCTAGGTCAATCAGAATAACTTTATGTTCAGCCTGTAATAGAAGTTGACCTTCGAGTTGCACTAGAGAGATTGCATTAATCAAATCCGTAAAAGTTAAATCTGTAATGAGGAATGCCAACTGTATCTCCTTCCATTGTTGATGTTTTATATAGTAGTGTATAAGGTATATTTAGTGATCTGGAAACACAGTAGATCATGAATTTTGGTCATTTGCTGGAATGTTTTATAAAGTAACCTTAGTTAAAACTTTTCAAATTGGTTATGAGGCTGTTAGTGATTATGTCTAGAAAAACAAGATAATGCACTTAGAGAAACCCCACTGAAGAAAACCTCTTTACTCTTTAGGCATAAGTGGTCGTTTCTTTGTCACTACACTTCCCACTATCTACCAGTAAGTACCTCACTTCATTTTTCCTGACAATAACTACTGTTTACTACTGCAGTACAATATTTCTGTATGGTTGTGATGAGTAGCATTGTGAGGGTGAAACAGACAACAAAGTAATGGAGAAACAGAAGCAATATATCAGTCTACCAGTTAGAGATTCTGTTAAGTGTGCTTCTTGGTGGAGGTGCAACTAATGCTTTAAAAAGGCTAGAGAAGTTGAGCCTTTTCGGGGAACAGTATTCTTTATAAGCCATTGGAGACGCAGTTCTTGGAGACGAGACTGCATTGAATTCAATGTGTTGTAGAGTGGGATAACAGCAGACCTACCACTGGAGCTGGAATGGGATTCACCTTTTTGCAGGCAAACATCACTATTATCATTGGATTCATAGCGATTTATTTGTGCAATTTTTAGGTTAGTATGAAATGGTTATGTTAAAGTTATACAGTGCTGAGCGTGTGTTGTCTAGTTAGGGTTTGTCTCCTAAAATATGAATTCTAACATAGATTACAGACAGGGATCCCTCTTCCCTTCATGCAAGGTAAACGAGAAAGAAGGATAGCAAGAAATAAGCCTTTAGAGATTTGCTTCCTTTTCTTCAACACATGTACACTGTACTCCCGTACTTGTGCTACAATAGCACAGAGATAAAGACCTAGGAGGGAGGCAGTATGAACAGGTAGACTTGCTTCTTTGGCCTCTTTTCAAGATTGTATTTAGAATTGTCTGCATGCAGCGGCATGGCACTTGTAGCTTTGGTAGTATAATTACATTGTTATCTATTTTCAGTGCAAAGGATGGCATATTCCGCAGATACCGTGGCTCAAGGTCACTCGAGGATCTAGAGGGCTATATCCTGGAGAAAAAATGGGAAGCTGTAGAACCTGTGGCAGGATGGAAGTCCCCATCATCTATACTGTAATTATCTTATATTTTCTTGTCTTAAGCTGCAATTACCTTTCAGGTTTTAAGAAGTGACTTTGTTGCAAACTGCAATTATCCATTTACTTATCCTTCCTGCTTCTTCTTATGACTTTATGGAATATATTGTGATGCTAATGTGTTGAAGAAAGACAAAAGTTTGCATTTGCTGTATTTTTCCCCAATGCGTGTTTTATTTATTTATTTAAACTACTTTAATCCTTGCTAGGTATCTTGTTGCTCAAAATAATCAGTAAAACCAAGGCATCTTCAAACTAAAATAATTCATCGGTGGTCAACAGGACTCTTAATGCTTGGCTCAGTAGATCATAATTTGTTGTTACAGTATAAAGAAGCTGATGTCCATATCACTTGTTCAAATGGAGGGCATTCTGCAGCAAGAAATCTCTGTTGTATATCTGCATAAGATATCACTCCTTATGGATGGACTAACCACTTCATCACATTGAGAGATGAAATGTATGGTTGACAGTCCCTTTAAGAGAGAGAATCTTCCCTTTAAGGGAGAGAATCTCCGTACTTGGAGTTCTGCCTCCCCATCAGACTCACACTGGAAACTTAAAGGTGGCAATACATTCATCTTTTATATTCATCACAAGATCAATATTACTTTTTCAAAAAATCAGGAGAAACAACAATATCTGAAAACCAAGAGATCACTTGCCCTGCCCAAAACCCCTTACATTAAAGGAGACGGACACCAGTTTAAAACCACTTCTTTAATGAGATCCTATAGTTCTGCCCCAAACCCCATAGGATACAAGAGACAGTGCTCCAGGTTAAAACCATTTCTTTCCATGGAATCCTAATGATCTGCATCAAACTCCATAGGATACAACAGACTGCTGACGGCTGAACAATGAAACAGGATGGGAAAATTTTGATGGTTCCCATCCCACCTGTTTTTCAGTTGTAAGTTTGATAAGCAGTAGGTGCTCTGAACACAATTGCTGGCACATGTTCAGAGTTTCCTCCTTTCAGAGCATTTCAGCTTCTTTTCAGGCCTGGAACATGTGATGAGCTCTGTGCCTCTCAATGCTAGAAAAGAGGCTGAAGTGTCCTACGAGGGGGAAATTTCTCAATGTGATGAGTTTGATTGCTGGAGTTAGCTCCTTTCAGGATGCTTTGGCCTCTTTTCAGCCATTGAGGGCTAGGCATAACAGCCAGAAGTAGTTTAACTCATGTGATGAGCTCAGTGGCTTTCCATGCTTGAAAAGAGGCCTAAGTGTCATGTTACTGGGAAATTTCTCAATGTGATAAGGTGGTTAGAGAAGGGAACCATTAGGAAACCACAGTACGTTGATGGATGTATACTCACAGAGTCTTTCAAATATTGCCCTTCCAAGCTAATCATAGCTTTAGACACCATCACTGCCCACTAAGCTGAGACAGGAAGTGGATTGTTGGTTGATAATAGTTCTTTAAAAGACATTTGGTTGCTGTAGTTTTCAGTTAATGATCTGAGAATGAAATTGTGGTCTGCTTATTCAGAAATATTGGTATAATATCTGTATTGATGGCCATGGGTTACTTGTTTATATGTTGATTGCTCATGGACCTTTAACAGAATTTTTTAAATCTATGTGCAATGTTTAAAATTTTGAGTAACTTGGAACCTCAGTATTTGAAGGAATGCCTTGTCTTGGATATCACATTGACATAAAGGCAGAATATAATTTCAGTAACATGTACATAATAAATATTTATTCACCTCGGTTGTATAATGATCAAAGTGTACCCTTTCTATATTTGAAAGACTTCTTCCTTGGTATCCCATACTACACAGCAGGATATAGTGGTGGAGTAAACTAAAAACAGTGTTTGGACAATCAAGAAGAATGGGAAATAATACTTCATTTGTAGCCGAACATGCAAGAACCCTTAGGATATTGAGGAGTCTTTCACTACTGAGCTAACTAACTATATGACTTTTGTATTAGGATGCATGGAATGGCAGGACTCTTCTATTTATCTGGATGGATCAGGGTGAGTAAACAAGATGCTTATTAAGTGGTATGCTGGTGGGTTGTGTATACTTCTGTATGGAGGGCATGTTCTCAAATATTCCACCAGCATAAGAAATTTGCACACCTACCATAGTGCTAAAGGTAATTTTGAGAACATGTACATTTTAAACCCACTGAATTTTTTTGTACAGACAAGAACTCAAATTGTGTCCACAAATTTCAGTAGTGTTTCAGACTTTTCATCATAGTGAATGATGGGTTATAGCATCACCTTTCCCTCAGTAATGTAATGAAATCTGATGTACACACATTTTATATTATATTGAACACAACATATTGTAGCATTGGGACATCCCTCAAAAGAACTTCTATGACCTTATTACATTTCAGCTTAGTTCTGGTTTAATATTATTTTCAGGAGGTTGCTAGGATATGAAGAACTAAGCAACAGTGTTGAAGTATTGTAACAATACTACCATGAATCATCACTAGATGTTCTTTTCTCCACACAAAACCACTAAAACTTGAATGATGTCAATATTTTTCGCGACTTCTGGTCAAAATAGAACTGGTTTCCCATTGTACCATTCAAAGTGAAATACCTATAAGCCTTTCCCAACCTGTTGTCCTCCAGATATTTCAGCCTACAAATCTATTGGCCAAAGTAGAACACCATTTTGGGAAAGTCTGGTATATCGTAGACATGTGCATTCAGGGGAAACCTTATCCTGTTTTGTGTCCTGGCTTCAGTTTGTTTGTTTGTTTATTTATTTACTATACTTGTATACCGCCTTTCTCAGCCTTATCGGCGACTTTTTGTTAGTGGCTTCTAAAAGACTTCGTTAGTCTTTTTGTTAGTGGCTTCTGAAAGGATCTTAAACTCTATAAGGGGTTAGCTAAGTCAATTTGCAGTAAGTAAATGGGCACAAATATGACATTTAAAAAGACAATACTGTTTGATACTCATTTATCTTTATTTTCTGCTTTTTCGTTTTCCTATAATGTCACCGTTTAGAAGCTCATCCCTAGATGAAGTATGTTGTAGCTTATAAAATCTTACATAATTTTATACTTGTTGATATTTAAGACATGAAGAGGATTTTTTTAATGATTATTTTGTGTTAGAATATGCCTGGTTAATTTGTTGAATTGTCCGAAGGTCATATCATACCATTGGTGACATAGGTTAATTTGGCGTCTTTACAGCAAATCCACAGCTACTTAACAGACACTCTTGGACTTCACGTTTGGGTTTCCTATGCTGTCTTCATACTCGGCACTTTATTGGTTGGTCTTATCTTGGGCTTGGTAAGAATTTTTTTATGTATATATTATGAACAACAAACAGTAGAGAGTTTTTACTATCAAAGAAATTACAGCATTCTAATGCAGACTAGCATCTCTCTTATAAATGCCAGTGGTAGTGTATCTGAATCGGTTTCATCCAGTGAGAGGAACTGGTTTTGTTATGTAACAGTGAAATAATAAATATTGAAGGCTGGCCTTCCATGTTGACTCTTAGTCAAGTTGGGCATTAACTCAGTAGTGTAAGTGCTTGGGTGTTTGTAATAGGTATTTATGGCTTTGAACATGTAGGTTTCCTTTTCTATAAAACCTTCACATCAGATCACATTATTTAAATAGTCTAAACTTTATTCATCTCAAATTTTAATGTTTGACCATAATTAAAGCCCCAGCTTCTGTATTTCTTGCACAGTGATGCAAATCAACATTTCATGGAAAATTCTACATATTATCATTAATGACTTCTGTGATCTTCCTCGTATAAATCTGATGTACTTCTTTATATAACTCAGATTATTCTTTTTAGAAAATATTGCAAATGCAATATTAATATTCAGAGACATAGCCATGTTAATATGCATCAGTATGTAATGGATAGCAGCTTTGAGATTAACTGAAAAAAGTTTGTACCATAAGCTTTCATAAACTAGGTCTACTTCATCAGATACAATCTTTTTTAAAAAGAATTATTATATCATTACTACTGCAAATATTGGGATGTCCTAATAAATTGCTTGAAGGCTAAAACTAGTTGATCTATTATAATTTCATTTTTCATTGACATTTATACTTTTTTCAGAGAGGAGTAAGTTCAGCTTGCATCTCATTTTTCCTTCCTTATGGATACTTAGGGGAAGAGAGGGAAAACGATTTGGGGAGAGCTGGAGGGTTGGGAAAAGTTTAAATTGCCACCCCACACTTCCAAAGTGGATAATGTAAACTGGATAGAACTGGGTTGTTGCAGGTTTTTTCGGGCTATATGGTCATGTTCTAGAGGCGTTCTCTCCTGACGTTTCGCCTGCATCTATGGCAAGCATCCTCAGAGGTAGTGAGGTGAATAGAACTGCTGTTTAGTAACTATATACATTTATATATTTTTTAAAATCTCCAGAATGATTGACAGTCATTTGTTACACTCTATACAACCAGCCTTATAAGATAGATCATAAGTATAATCCCTGTAAATTGAAAGGTAGGTGTGTGTGTGTAAGCAAGCTTAAAGAGATTTGTCAAGGCTTGAGTGGGGCTATCTAATGTGTTAACATCTTAGATAGCACTTGAATTACAGAATATTACACTATGTAACAAAATTTGAAAAAATGTTCCAAATTTTAAAGCACTATTTCCTGTTTAATTGTGCAGTACTTTGAAAGTAGTTGTTATACTCCAGAAACTTTGTTTTTGTGGCTGTTGCAAACTATGTTGAATTGGTTGAGCTTCAATGAGATATTCATTGAAAAATTAGCAAAATGTGCTGCAAGAACAAAGTTTTTTTTTCAGTTTAATAAACTTTTTACATGTTTTTATCATAGAATCAAATAGGAAATGACATTTATAACCCAGGAACAAAAATTGTGTTTCTTAGGGTCCTTCCACAAAGCGTTATATCCCAAAATATCAAGGCAGAAAATCCCACAATATCTGCTTTAAACTGTGTTGTCTGAGTCCACACTCAGATAATGTGGAATTTTCTGCCTTGATATTTGGGATATAAGGCTGCGTGGAAGGGCCAAGGTGTAATGTTTGTAATTGTAGTATAAGGGTTTTTCAGGTAACTTGTTGAATGGTGGTTTCAGTAAACTGTTTAATGCTATGAGCTTCATGGTTAAATAAAAATATAAATTAGATATGTACCCCTGAGGTATAGATGAATGATAAAAAAAAATCCAAAAGGTAAAGATAGCATCTAGACATGAAACAATTTGGTTGTAATTAATGAGATTTTGCAATATTACTTTTCTTTTTTTCAGATACTGGTTTTAATTTCAGATTGCATTTCTCCATCAAAGTTCAAAACAGAAGATCCTGGTAAGTGTATAATCAAAAGTAGTGTTGCAGCATACAATTTTGTCGGCATTGTATTGCAAATAAGATCATTAAACAATTTCAAAGTGCAATTTATTCAGCAAATTCTAATTTTTTCCATACAAAAGTTGTGATGGCACACAAGTAGCTCGATACCTCTTCCTTGTGCTGCGTAAGTGATGTTGGGCCTTTAGCAGTGTTTCATTTTACTATGATGACCAAATTTCTAGAACAACCAAATTCGGAAGATATTTTACAGGTACCTCGGTATTACGTTGGGCGCAAGCAAGGTACAGTGGTTTGAGTGTTAGATTATGACTCTGAAGAACTGGGTTTGAATCCAAGGTTAACCCACTGGATCCCCTTGGGCAAACCACACTCTCAGCCACGAACAGATATTGCCAAGAAAACCTTGAGATAGGTTCATTTTTTGGTTGCCATAAGTCGGAAACAACTTGAAGTATACAGCGGCAACAAGTATTATGGGTGGAGACGTAAAACCAGTGGGGAAAAAAACAGGTTTGGAATGTCTAAAGCATCTGATTCCACACTGCCATATAATCCAGTTCAATGTGGATTTTATGCAGCTGTGTGAAAGGGGTCTCAGCTGCTATTCAACACAGTTAAGCAGTATGTCTACCACAGTAATGCAGTTTTCTCACATGGGAAAAATCCTTTAGGACAATTTTCCATTACCTTTTGTACTGGCATACAATAGAGTTGAAATGCAAAATGGCTGGAAGGCACTGGGCTGGGGGAGGCTACCAGGGAGTATAAGTGGGCACAAAATGGCCACTGTCTTGATGTCCTACTTGATATCTAGTTCAGTGGTTCCTAACTTTTTTTTTTTACCAGAGACAACTTGACCAGGGACCACTTGACTAGGAACCACTCTCCAATATTAGCACCAAAACAGTTATGAATCAGTTTTTGGTCAGCTTTAGATTTGGTTTGGTTAGTTGGGGTGTTGATTTAGAAAATTACATTGGATAGACCACATCAGCTCTAGTTTCTGATATAGAACATATGCCATCCAGTAGTTGCCATCTCCTCACCCATAGAAAACCATATTTAATAATCCTTGGCACTATAAGAGAGTTTCATAAGACCAGTTGCTCTTGTTGCAACGGTGTAGTAACCGTGAGACTGTGGACCATATTTTAGTTCTTGTGGGCCATTGATGGTCCATGGGCCACACACAGGTTGGGAACCACTGGTCTAAAGTATATTGGAAAGCTTCTTGTCAACTATGAAGAAATGTGTTTTAGTTACACAGTAATTTAAGTCTGGAATTAAAATTCTGTGATCCTTAACATCGGACTGGAATTCTGTTTTTAAGCAGTCCATATTGTAGCATCAGTTCTTTTTTATAATCTGTATAGAACTTCAATACTAAATGTGCAGATTTATTTCCAACTAGGGGGATTTGTGAATGTCTTACTATTTCCATTGACATAAAGATAAACATCTTAAACTTGTAAATAGCTATCTTTGTGAGAGGGAAAGAAAATTAAATAGTGGGAGGTAAGCAAACTCCAAATTAATATCCTTATTCTGATACGAACAAATATAAAATTCATTTTGCTTTTTTGCGCAAGGATAGAAAAAAATCACAACATATAGGAGAACCATAAGAGTTACAAGATAGACTGTGGAGGAAATGGAACCAGAGAACTGGATTACAACAAAGACAGCAGTTATGGGTTTTTAAATAAAATATAGGGTGTGATTATTTTTTTGGATTTCATTTGTTTTTCTTCTTTTAGATTTGATGGTCCCCAGTGAGGATAAAATAGAAGAGCAACAGGAGCCACTGCAGCGAGCAGCAGGAGAGACAGTTACGGAAAAGGAGCTGCCTGAAGGAGACAACAAGGAAGATGGGGAAGAAGAGTCTCAAGAGAATTCATCAGATGACTCTGCGGTCGAAGGATCTCAGTCAGAAGATGAATTGCAGCATCAGGAATCTGACAAAGTAGAGCAAAGCTCTGTAAGGCAACGTAAAAACCAAGTGGATGCTGCTGGACTATAGTAAAGTTTGCTGTATACATAATTTGATGTGGACCAAAGACGCATTAAGGTTCCCCCCTTTTTTTTTGCAGCTGCATCCAAACACTTGACCTGTAAACTGTTTCAGTTGATGATTTGTGCCAGATGGTTATTGCATTCTTTTAGGGGCAGTATTTTCTAAAGTTTGCTCTGAAAGATAATATTCTAATGCTAAGATTATAGCCATGACAATCAAAAAGCAAATTCTATTTTTTATGGATTGCGGGGAGCGGGTTGAGGCTTTATATTTAAGCAATGCCAGAAGCAAGGGAAATGTGCTTCCTACACAAATGCAAATTCCATATATTTTAGTACTTAGTGATGTCAAATCTTAGGTAATCTGTTAAAACTCTGGAACAAGTCAACAAATATAGTATAGAAAACTGTATATTAAAAAGCTAACATTCATCAGTAGACAAAGGGCAACTTCAAACATGACAAATTAAGACATCATTCTTGAATGAAGCTGCATATATGTGCAAGGCACCATCATGTTTTGAAATAACTGAGTGCATCAATTGCATGTTTGTTTCACAGCTTCAGTTGCCTAGTGTACATTGAAGAGTGGGCTTTTTAATTTCTGAAGTGTCTTCCACTGTAGAAAGTTATAAAAACTCATAAAACACAAAGTTTCACTTTGTATCTAAGAAAAGCTATTAACTAACTGTACACATCTATTTCTGTGTTGGCATATAAATGGCTTCTGTATCTAAAGACTTGTCTCTAAAGCAGGGATGGGGAAAATGTGGCTCTCCAAGACGATGATGTATTACATCTACCACTGACCTTGTTCAATATAGTCAGTGCTGAGGTATGCTGGGAGTTGTAATCCAACACTGCCTTGATTGTCCTTTGTGTATATTCCACGTAAGCTTCCTCATTTATTAACATGCTGAGCATAATGTGACTTTTTAGGTTAGTTTTGATACTGTTGCTATCCAACATGCATTCCAATACAAGGTGCATCCACATAGTGCAGAATTAGAAAATGCCACATTTTGTACCATAATGCTTACCGTACGTACTCATGTATATAAATCAAGGGCAGATTTTGGGGCCAAAATTCTGAATTTTAGTATGACCCATGGGTAAGTTAAGGGTCATTCTACAGAGAAAGTATCACTGCCACCTGAGGGGGTCAGGGACCACCACTACTATTTAAAAGGATGACTGATCATCTGAAGTGATTTTGAGATTATCACCAGTGACCAAAATACTGTGTTCTGAAAGGGTTTTTTGTATCTGCTTAAATGTGATGGTGTCTGAAACCATAGTTGTTCAGGCCACTTAGTGTAACAGATGTCTTAGTTTCTGAATTGGTAATGATGTTTATTGACTTCACACATCCCATATACAGGGTGAGGCAGCATAACTTCCTTTTTTCAAATGTGCGCCATTTAGTTGGTTGTAGTGGAGAGCTAGTGGTCTTGTTCGAGAGACGGGAGTATAAAGTTTTGTCCTGACACAGTTCAGTTGCCATCATGCATTGGAACAGTGAGGAGCGTGCTTTTGCCGTTGAGGCCTACTTTTCGAGTGTATTTGGAGTGGCCAGCCCACTCTCCAGATTTGGCCCCTTGTGATTTTTTTCTATGGGGTTTTTTGAAATCCCGTGTTTATGTGAACCGTCCAAGGACCCTACAAGATTTGAAGACCAACATCCAGGAAGAAATTGCCAACATAACGCCTGCTATGCTGGCAAGAGTCATGACGAATGCCAGAAATCAGTTTACTCAGTGTATGGAGAATGGGGGACGTCGCCTACCTAATTTGATCTTCAAAAGTACATAAAACAAAACTTTATATATGCGCCTACATTATAAAAAAATAAAAAAAATCTGATTCATACAATGGGTTTTATTAAGTTTTGAAAAAAGAAGTTATGCTGCCTCATCCTATACAAATCAGTATGGTATAACTGTATTGGCATATCAGTATATTTTCTTACTCTATGTAAATCTTCAGTACTTTGGAATGAATTAAGCTTAAACTGCATCAAAAAACTCAAAGCAATGTTAATATTCTCATATTGTAGGATAATGAAATAAATCTGAGGGTTAAGGGAACTAGAGGTAAAAACAAATGGCAGCTAGATATGTTCTATTTCGATGCTTAATGGACCATTGAAGCCCTAGCAAACAGTATTAAAAATCAACAGTAATAATTGCAATTCCCATTTATTCTGTTCTGCATACAAGGTAAATAAATGCATGTACAGCATATAAATTCTTAAGGTAGATTACTAGAAATGCTTTGGTGGGTATCTTTTCCTTTTTCTAAAAATACAAATAGAAGTTTAAATGATAATTAACAAACTTCATGAATATTGAGTTGCTGTAGGTTTTTGCGGGCTATATGGCCATGTTCTAGAGGCATTCCCTCCTGATGTTTCGCCTGCATCTATGGCAAGCATCCTCAGAGGTTGTTGAAAAAACCTACAACAACCCAGTGATTCCGGCCATGAATGCCTTCGGCAATACATTCATGAATATTGGCAGTCCCTAAGTTACAAGCATCCAATTTACAAATGACTCATAGTTAAATATGGGGATGAGACATCAGGAAGGGGGAGAAATCTATCCCTAGGAAGGGAAATCCACTTCTGGAACAGTGATCATGGGGAAAAGATATCTCCACCAAAGCTTTATCACTTTCCTTGTTTCCACAACAAGCCAATTTTTTCAAGTCCTAATTATCCCAGTAGCGGAAAGTGAGGTGAAATCTCACTTTATAAGGCTGGAGTTACCCTTAAAAATATACCTGTTTTGACTTACAAACAAATTCAACTTAAGAACAAATCTACAGAACATATCTTGTTTATAACTTGGGATTGCTTTTACTTCAATTATACACTAAGTGCACTTTTCAAACTACTAAAAATGTCAGGAAAATAACATAGTCACTCTATTTGATCATAGAACTATTTTTATACAATGGATTAGTAGTATGGCCAAGGTTGTTTTTTTGGTACATTACAGGCTTTGGAAGCTGATTCCTTCAGTTCCCCACAAAGGAGAGATGGGCCATAGTTAATTGACTTCTGTTCCATAACTACAGGTAGAATCTGTCTTAATTGTGTGCTCCATTGATAAGAATGCTTAGAGTATATTAACAGAAAGTTCATGTGTTGTAACTCCGGTGACAGGAATAAGTAATTTTCTAAAAGCACTTGAAAAAAGATATATTTTCCTAAATGGTGCTTAAGATAATATTGAGATAGTTTTCTATATTTACTCAGAGAAGAAGATAAGGTGGCAATCCTAAGTGTGTGTCATTCCCTTTTGAATTCAGAGGGGCATAGTTCCAAGTAAAGTAGCCAAAATTAAGTTGTAATGATCTCTTGACATGTGGACCCTCATGTTGCATGTCACAGCCATCTGCCATTCTTGCAACTTGAAGCATTAGGCCTTGAATTGCAGTGCAGTACAATCCCCTTATCCAAGGATTCTATATCCATGGTTTTACTTATCCATATTCCAAAAAATATTTCCCTCTGGAAGAGTTTATGGGCCTCTCTAGGTCCATTTTGTGGTGAGCCTTTGTCTCAAGTATCCTCACAATATAGGGCCCACTATTTTCCATGGTTTCAGGTCCACAGAATGTCTTGGAATATATTCCCTTCAGATGTGGTGTCATACTGTACTTTCCTTGTGCCTATATGTGTTATAGTAAAGACAATTCAGTTCATCAGGTGTTCAATTCTATTTGTCACTAGAAAGTTTGCAATCATGATACAGATATGAGAATTGAAAGTAGTCCTTCCATTAGTTTAGGGCAGAGTGAACCCTTGTGTCTCACCAAAAATATATACGTGTAGCAGCTTTTCAGCAACACAAGTTGTGAAATACTGTTGCAATCATGACCATACATAAGAATGTGCTATGATCCACACGTTTTTTTCAGATGTTTTAATATGCATGGATGTCCAATTTCTAAAGGTGCCAAGCTTTCAACAAGTGAAGAGAGGTTATTCTTGGATAACGTAATTGTTAAGGAATTAGTACTGGGCAAGCAAAGTGCTTTGTTCAAACTCACTAGTTACTTAGAAACAGATTGCGCTGGAAAATAATGCAATATTTGTGATTGGTTGAAACAGATAATTTAGTTTGTGACATGTTTTTTATGCAAAAATTTATACTAAAATGCTGTTGTCTATTTCTTTGTTAACTATAAAAAATATTTATTTCAAGTCCTGTGTCCATTTATTTATTTATGTGCCGCATTTATATCCTGCCTTTCTCACCCTGAAGGGGACTCAGGGTGGCTCACAACAAAGGCACATTTATGTTCTGAATACATAAAAATAAAACAACATACAGTTTAAAATCACATATTAAAACAAGTCACTTAAATCAATAACTTAAAATCACAGAATCCAAAAGCATATAATTTAATGGAGTTGAAAACAGTCTTTGCATCTCTATATTTATTTCTTTAATGCTGTGATCATTTAAAAGTCAACATAGATTTCTCAAGAACAAGTCATACCAAACTAATCTTACCTTTTTTTTTCCAATAGGGTTACCAGCTTGGTAGATGCAGGGAATGCTGTGGGTTTAGCATATCTTGATTTCAGTAAGGCATTTGACAAGGTCCCCCATGATCTTCATGCAAACAAACTAGTAAAATGTGGGATAGCTAATACTACTGTTAGGTGGATTTGTAATTGGTTAAGCAATCAAATCCAATGGTTCCTCTTTATCCTGGAAAGAAGTGACTATTGCGATTTCAATTTTGCGATTTCAAATCAAACTCTACCCATGTTTCAAGGCACTTGGAGCAGCCTCACCCAGTTAGTACCCAGATAGCGGGATCCTATCAACCCCACCCCCATTTTGTGATATTTCTTGATGGGAAGTGCTTGGAGATGAGTTACATGAATGAAACTTGCAGACAAGATCTGGTAACATACTTGTTCCTGCAAGTTGGAATGATATTAAAGTCCACTTGGAGAATCGATCACTCCTGCCTGCTTAGAAATAGTCAAGGATAGCCATATTAATCTAGAATATCAATATGCAAAATGAAATTGTAGCATCTTTGATCTTTTGAGAAAGAAGTAGGTAGCACAAGCTTTCATAGACATCGATTGCATCTACACTGTAGAATGAATGCCAGTTAAAGTGAACACTGGTAGAAAAGACTCTTTGGCAAAGAGGGCTAAAGCCCTTGTAAAACTACAATTCCCATTATTCCATAGTGCTAGCTGTAACAAAGTGGTGTCTAACTGCATTAATTATGCAGTGTAAATCCACCTTTAATCTATTTCCTCTGATTCATGGTGCGACTCTATGGAAGTTTAAGATTGAATTTCTTTCCTTCAGTCTCAAATTTGCTACAATATCCAAATTTTAGAAGTTTTGTGATTGTTGTGAGGTACTGAATGCCCAAACTTTTCTGTTTGTTCCGTTGTACTCTGGTTGATGATAAGCATGAGATACATTGCCCTAGTTTGGTGAATGAGAATTTAGTGTCAAAGTCCAAAGCAGTACAAAAATGTTAAGAGGGGACTCTCATATTTGGTTGCTTGCTTTAAAAAAAGAAGGTAAAAGTACCTGAACTTTGCTTTAATTTAATGATTAACAATCAGTAAATGAGGCAGTCAGGACAATCCAAGAAGTGAAAGAAAGCAATATAACTTGCTTGCTTATAAGTATGCCGGAAAAACCAATTTGCATTGCTGACTTTGAACAGTATGCCAAGACATTTCTTCGAAAATCTGTGTATGATTATTACAAGTCCGGGGCTGATGAACAGCAAACATTAGCTGAAAATGTAGCTGCCTTTTCAAGGTATTTCACTGTTTAAATATTGTAAATGTAATAAATGTTGTTAATGTATGATTAGGAGAAACATTAATCATAGAAAGGCATATATGATGGGGTGAAACTGGTGAAAAAAAATTGTCAGTAGGAATTATTTCGAACTCATCTCTGGTACCTTTCAGCACTAGTCCATAGGATTCTGCAAAATAGGATTAACATTAAACTCAAATCTTGCTTTTTTGACATGTCAACTTACTAAAAAGGCAACATTCTATGAGGCTAGAGCAAATGCCATTTTCAGTGCAGAAAATGCTATTTCTGGTAGAGAAAACTAAAGGCTTTCTGCACAAAATTAACATGGATTGTGTGTGTGGAAAATAGCATTTTTGTGCAAAAAATAAAATCTCAGCAAAAATATTTAATGTGAAGACATTGCTGTTTCCTAGGCATAAAATGTGATGGTTAAGGATGTTTGTGTGCAAAATTTGATTGATCTTTAAAAAATAGGTTTTGCACAGAAAATTCTGTTTTTTCTACAGAAGCACCTGATGTCCATATATCCCAATTGAATTGGTTAAGGGTAATGCCAAATGGTTGTCTCCAGTTTTTGTGGACCAATTCTTATATCTAATTTCAGCATGCATTTGAGAGGACTGAGAGTTTGTTGCTGTTCCAATTTACCAAAAAAAAAAAAAAAAAAGAAAGAAAGAAAGAAAGAAAGAAAGAAAGAAAAGAAAAGAAAAGAAAGACACCCAGTCCTGCCAACTATTGACCAATCTGTTTATTAAGTGTTATTTTCAGATTACAGGAAAAGCCATCTCTATGAAAAAAATACTAGATTGGTTGGTGCAATAACATAACTTAGAAGATGAAGTTGATCTACCATTCACATTGTCCTTTGTCTTGGACAGATACTGATCTAAAGCATTCTTCATTAACTTTCTACGGGGAGAGGGGACAGGATACAAATAAAGTTTTTATTGATATTGCATGTACAAACAGAGCATATTTATATGCATGCTTCTGCATGGATTCATAAGATATATTTTCCTTTGAAACTGGTTTATTTTGCTGTGCGAGTGCCCTCACTGACTTTAACTGACCCCTTTCTGACAAAGTGGGAAAGGGCACTGAATGAGAAAAACACAAAATCTTGGAATTTCTAGACATTAAATATGCTAAACCTACTATGACACAGTATTTTTGGGGCACAGAATTGCAAAATCTCTCATAATGAGCCCTATTACACCTCCCACTCTGGGAGAAAGGTAGCATACAAATGCAATAAATAAATAAATAAATAAACAAAACAATTACATTAATTTTAGAGATAACTAGCTGTACCCGCCACGCGTTGCTGTGGCCAACCTTCCCTCCCTCTTTCTCTCCTTCTTTCCCTCTTTCCTTCCTTTCTTCTTTTTCTTTCCCTATCTCTTATCTTTCTTCCGTCTCGACCTGTTTCTTTCCTCTCTTTCTTTGCTCTTTGGTTACATCTATCCTTCCCTATCTTTTGTTCCTTCTCTCCTTTCTTGCTTCTCTGTCTTTCTTTCCTTCTTTCCCTCCCTGCTTCTCTCCTTCCTTCCTTCCCATTTTCCCTCCTCTTGTTACTTCTTGACTGTCCCTTCCATTTAATATTGTATGTATCTCTTAGAAAGAAGGAAAGGAAGAAGGAAGGAAGGAGGGACAGGAAAGGAAAAGAAAGGAGGGACAGGAAGGGAGGGAGGAAGGAGGGAAGGAAAGAAAGAAGGGGGATGAAGAAAGGAGGGAGGGAAGGAAATGAAGGGGGAGGAAATAAGAATGAAAGGGAAAGAAGGAAAGGAAGGAGGGAAGGGAAGGAGGAAGGAAAAAAAGAGGGACAGGAAGGGAGGAAGGAAGGAGAGAGAGAAAGGAGGGGGATGAAGGAAGGAGGGAGGGAAGGAAATGAAGGGGAAGGAAATGAAGAAAGGGAAAGGAGGAAAAGGAGGGAGGTAAAGAAGGAAAGGAAGAAGGGACAGGAAGGAAGGAAATGGGGAGGGAGGGAGGAGAAGGAAGGAAGGAGGAAGGAAGGAGGGGAAGAAAGGAGAGGAAAGGGAGGGAGGAAGGAAAAGAAGGAAAGGAAGGAGGGACAGGAAGGAAGGGAAGGAGGGAAAGAAGGAAAGGAAGGAGAAGGAAAGAAGAAAAGGAAAGAAAGGAAGGAAAGGGAGGAAAGAAGGGAAGGGAGGGAGAGAAGGAAGGTCCTTCATTCAAGCACCGTGGACCTTCCTCCTCCCCCTCCCCCCTCCTTGCGTGGATGCTCCGTGGATGCTCCGTTGCTGCTGCTTTCCCAGCAGGCTTTGAGGCGGCGTGCGACGCGGCGGGGCTTGGAGTGGGCGGGGCTTCGGCTTTGGGGAGGAGGAGTGAAGGAGCATGGAGGATGGGGGCGTGGCCTGTCCCCCTCCTCTCCCCCCCCCGCCTTTCCGTTCCCTTCCCAGCACTCGCCTCTTTTGCTGCTCTCTCCTCCCGTCGGCTGGGGCTTTTTTCCTGCCGAGGGAAGGCTGCATGGGCAAAGGGCTCCACGTAAGCTAACTTGGGCTCTCCGGCTTTGCGTGGCGAGGGAGGATGGGGGCGGGGCTTTGTGGAGGGAGCGTTGGCCGGCAGGCCATGTGCGTGCGCACGGGGGAACTGGCGGCTGGCCGCCATTGCGCATGCTCAGTTGTTTTGTCATTTTGTGGATGTGTTGTTTTGTTGTTCTTAATTCTGATTCTGTTTGTTTGTACCTAGTGGGTTAAGGAAGGTGCATGGGAATTTTGGTTGATTTCTGTTGGGGGGTTTTTGAGTTTTGCTTCCTCGTAGGACGCCACTTCGGATTTTATATATATAGATGGGAGAGCACTTCCCCTTCCAAATTATCTGGCAAATTCAACTTGTTCTAAGTTCAGAATAGTATTTTTATTGGTAAGATGCAATGTTCTGACACACACATTTCTGCAAGAAAATTCAAGAGGGTCTCTTATGTCCTTACAAACTGAGGAAAGTGGAAATAGATGTATTTTTTATATTGTGTCTTTTTTTTTTGAGATATCTCATTTTTATTACTCAAGTTTTACAGATTTTTATTTATTGTACTTCTTGTCAAATGAGGATCCAAAGCTTGTAGCCAAAATTGTGATTTTCTTTTTTGCAGCCATCATTTAGGTCATTGAAACAGTTTTCATCATTTAGGTCATTGAAACAGTTTTCTTTTTCAGGCTCTCATCTCAAATACCATTATTTGGTGTAGTTTAGACTTACTGTCATTATTACGATGGTTTTGCAGCTGAACAGCATGGAGAATTGGAGCCTCATATTTGGAGATGTACTGCATGCCCTAAACAGTTGTAGATGATCTACTGTTGTCCACATAGGACAGTGTCAATTTCTTTTGTACAAAACCCTTCAGAAAACAACTACAACCGAAAGTAAACCATGGTTTAAATCCCTTTTTGTCTGCTAGCCTTCTATTAACGATTAGGTGTGGATACAGAAATGGGTTTGATAGAAGCTTGCTTTTATATTGTTTAATATGGTTTGTCCTAATGTAATTTGAATGTTTTTTTTTTTCTGTTGGCATTGAATGTTTGCCATACACGTTGAAACTGCCTTGAGTCCTCTTGGGAAGATAGGGTTGTCTACAATTATTATTATTATTATTATTATTATTATTAGTAGTAGTAGTAGTAGTAGTAGTAGTAGTAGTATTACAAACCTGGATGTGCAGGTCTGTAAAGTCTTCCTGTAAGCTAAAAAAAAGCCCAATAAACAAATTGCTATCAATTTTTTAAAACATGTAAATATAAGATTGTTGTATCTGTTACTTTGGGATTAGAAGTGGTGTGTGATATCAGTGTTATTTGGGTGATGTCTCCATATTTCAGATTGCTTTAGAAGTAGCACCCTATGTTACTGAATTCAGTATCTTGGCTAGTTCTTTAAAAATTATTTTCCTTAAGAGTTTACTGCAACATTAAAACAATATACATAAAAATAAAAAGGAAATGAAATCCGGAAAGGAAAAAAATCTAAAAGTATAGAAATAGAGCAAAGTACAAAAAGAATAAAGAAAGAGCAAAATGTTTCTAACTTTCTAACATGTCTACACATAACGTAAAATGTTGTTTCCCCTACATGACTATGATTTATATTTCAGCTACTTTTTTTTTCTTGTCTATTCATTGAGTTGTTACTGACTCTTCATGACCTCATGGACCAGCCAACACCACAGCTCCCTGTTGGCCATCACTACCCTCACTTTCTTCAAGCTTCTTCAAGGTCAAGCCAGTCACTTCAAGGATATCATCCATCCATCTTGCCCCTCTTCCTTTTTCCTTTGATTTTCCCTAGTCTAATTGTTTTCTCCAAGCTTTCCTGTCTTCTCATTATGTGGCCAAAGTATTTCATCTTTGCCTTTAATATCCTTCCCTCCAGTGAGCAATAAGGCTTTATTTCATGGAGTATGGACTGGTTGATCTTCTTGCAATCCAAGGCACTCTCAAAATAACTGCAACTTATATATCATAACCCTATATTTATACTTGCTTTGATGCTATCATCAGTCACAGAGATTGCTGTTTCGGGATGATCAGTGACTATTTCCTCGTCCTTATCTCGATTTGACTCTTCCTCGGTGTTCACTTTTCTATCCTCAAAACTTTCTATATACTTGTAAGTCTTTAGATTCACTCTTCTTTCCATTGGTTTTACAAAGTCATATCTTTCCAACCAAAATGCTTACCTCCTTCAGTTTTTTCACAATTGTCATTTTAAAAATCACACTGTTCACATCTGTTAAGCAACCATCATTTGGGTATGGCGGCCTCCCTTTGTCCCAGCACAACAAAGAAATAACCTTGTTCTTATCAAAGCCATAGACACACAATCACTTTCTCACACTTCTCTCCATTCTTACTGTTCTTAATATTTTTCATTCTTAATATTGCCCATACCGAAAGTCTATTTACTGTACTCAAATTTCAACTTGTAGTTTTGCTCTTAATTTTCTCCAGTTGGTTGTATTGCCATTTAAAAGTATA